AATTGTATGGGTTTGGGGTTTTCTTTTTCTTTTTTTAAAAATCTGAGTAGGAGACCAGGCGGTTTTAGAGCTAACGCAAAGCACAGACCAATTCATCACCAAACCAAATATAGCAACTCAAAGGATTCAGATGCAGTCCTCTGACTTCTCCAGCTCTTTCCTCTGGGAGCTTATTTCCCTTAAAATGGCAGTTAAAAGGTTTTGCACAGCAACTCATATTTAACTGTGCGGAACAGCATAAATGCTGGTGAAAAATCATAAGCAACAACATCTAATTCACACTGAAGACGTTCCTTTCTCCCTGTACCTCCTTAGCAATGGCTCCCTACATCCATCAGTATTAATGTCCTTGTAGCCATGACCGATCTGTGGTGGCAATGCAAGTTGGCAGGGAGAGGCTAGTACTCTTACTGTAATTATTGATAGCACACTCAAGAGCACCTTTGGTTTTTCCAGCTGTATGTGTAGCTGAAGCAGTTGGTATTACTCCAGAAATTTTGCCTGCAGGATGCTTTTCTTCTGATTCTGACAGACCAGCACCTATGGGTATATTTACTACTACAGAAATTATTCTGGATCCTCATCTCATCTCCTTTTTTTCCCCTAGCACTGTTAACTTGAGTAGCTAGAGGAGCAGCTGAGGGTCCGCTCCAATATTTTGCCTGCCCTCTAGCACGTGTACAACATCCCTGCCATAAAAGCAAGCAAGGAACCACCAAGAAGCCAGATTTATCAGTTTCACAACAACTCAAGGACAGCAACCTAAACCTAGACAGTCTCAGTATAAATCTATTTGCAAAGAGAGATTACAACAAGTCCAAAGATCTTGGCCATAATTTGCAGCCAGCTGGGCCAGCAGGGCCTCTTCCTGCTCTGGTTAATACCCAGAAGCCAAATTTCCATTGCCTTTGCTGGAAACACCTGCAGAGCACAGCACCTGTGCCAATCTGCCAGGGGCAGCAAGACAGGAATAGCAACCCCATGTGACACTGCAGCAGAGAATTTGATGTGCATGAAGCACAAAGACCCGTGCTGAGATCCGGCCAGTGAGGAAAGGGACAGATGAGAGGTCTCAGCAGCTGGGCTAGCAGAGTGAGAACTATCTCCAAACTGAAATGCTGAAGATCAAATGCTAAAACTGATGCAAGCGGTGTGGCTGTACCAGAGTAACCGCATTAGCTGGGAACCTCGATGTTGACTTTGAGATCTCAAATGTCCTTTCGTCTTCGCCCATATGCTGTCACTTTCTGTACGTCCCTTCCTCTTGCTCTCCGTGCTTCCTTGAACACACCCACATTTGAATGGCTTCCCTAGTCAGCGAGCAACACCATCACAGCAAATCACTCCTTCAGTGGACAAACCACTGGGTGGAAACATGCACAGAGGCACTTGTTTTCCTGGCAGAGGGAGTAAAGCAGCAAAGAAGCCACTGAGCCAGGAGATACGAGGTCTCCAAGAGAGAGATCTTCAGTGGTTGTGTGTGGGTTCATTGCGTTGTTCCTGAATGATATCTGGTTCTTTGGGCTCAGAGAGATCTGTTTCCCTTTAAAATAAGGGAAATCTCCTCCAGGGATCTATCTCATCAGCACCATCACGAAAGACAAAAAGGAACTGGAGGCTGGTGGAGGGGTGATGGTGAGGAGGGAAACAGGACAGAAGTGCTGTTAAGCTGTGTTTGAACAGGCTGGGGAAGAAGCCTGGAAGCACTCTGCCCTGTTGGGACAGCCTTGCTGCCCCAGGGAAAGGCTGCCTCCTTACTCTGTCTGCAGGGTAAGTGGCTGGGGTGGGGGAGCAATGTCCAGGAGAGCAGCTGCCCAAAAGCTCAAGCTGAGGCACCTACTCATGCACCTGCACTCCTGGGTCAGTTTTTCCCCTGCCAAATCCCTCCACCTCCTCCCTGTGCGCTCACTCTTCCTGAGGTCTGTTCTCCTCCTCTCTCCTATCACTGGCTGGACATTGTTGTTTGCGGGGAGCAGCAGCTCTAGCCAAGTTTGTGCCTCTACAACCAGCAGCAGAAGACAAGGCACTTGTGGCTGGATTTGCAGTGGCTGGTGTTGTTACACAGCCAGCCACTCTGCAATGCTGAGGACTGGTTTGACACAGGATTCTGGCAGCCCTACGCATTTTAAGCTGATTGCTCCTTGGAAGCTGCTTCCACCTTTCTGAAGACTCCATTGCAAGAACGGAGTGAAGTAGTCTGTGAAAGAGCCGTTTACTGGATCCAGAACACAGGTGGATTCCCTTCTATTAGGCTGAGAAAAGTCGCAAAAGCAACACACAAAAAAACCCCAAAGAACCCACAAAAATAGGAGGGAGGAAAAAATTCAACTCAGTTAATTTGAAGCAACACATCTTAATTACAACTGCAAATAACCTTAAGAAATTCTGAGTCAGAATAAGTTAGGCCCCCTGTGCTACAGCTCACCAGAGGTAATATCCATTATTACAATTTCTTCTGTGTAGCATCATAAAATGCCAAATAGGACTGTGCTTCTTTCAAGTACAGCCTGTTCAAAGCAAGTGGTGAGTCTTGCTTGGAAGACCTGGCAAAGGAGAGAGAGGCATTCAACTCCCTGTGTCTTGAAGAAATCAAGAAGAGATGTTTATCAAGGAAATGAGTAATACAAACGGTTTGGCTTTCAGCAGACTTGGAAATACATACAGCAGGTTCCAGCACAGGTTTGTAAAAAATTAATTAGCAGTGAGTGGGAAAAGGAGTGATGAGTGTTATTCTCTGTGCTGCAGTCTCGTTTAACTTAATAAAAGTGATCGAACTATAAGATCCCAATGAAACACCTCCCAAAATTAAGTGTTTCTCTAGAAATGGAGCTGTTCATTTCATTTTTTTAGGAATGATCAGGTATTCTAAACTCTATCATGTTTCGGCTCCTAACACCAGACATCTGACAAGACTGTTGGACTCCCCTAAACATTTAGCTTGTTTTGTTATCATTAAAAATCAACAGGATTTTGGAGCCTAATTGATCTAGCTGAGCTCTGCTCTGTTTCTGTAAGCTCCTAAAATATGAAAATCTGCCATAAAATAATTCACTTTATTCTAAATCTGACTGAAAATCTAACAATAAAAGTTTGGAGAAGACAAAGCTCAGAATTTTTCCAGACGGTTTCTTTGACTTGCAAGTCCCTCAAGCAAGCTGTGAAACAAGGCAAAAACTACACCAACGCAGTGGGCCTGGCAACCCTGGTAAGGACAACTACCACACAACTATCTTCTCTCACATAAGTGTCTCTTTCAGAGCCTGATACATCATTAAAAAACAGAACATCCATAAGAATAACTGCAGCCAGTAAAGCATAGCTTTAATGACTGACAACCTGTCCAGAGAGGGATCAGAAGCTCTGCTAGCTCCTGGTGACCACTTCAAAGGGCTCCCACATGCTGAGCTGAGGGGCCTGAATTGCAGCCTTGCAACAGTAGCACTCTTCCCAGCAAGGCTTTGACAGAGGGAGGCCAGTCCTGCATCCCTCATGGAGCTGTTTTCCTTGGGGTTCACTCCCAGTTTCCACAAGCACAAAGTAAAGAAGAATTAGACCTGCCAAATTCATAGTGATGCATCAGACCCAGAGCACTTTAAATTCCCCAGGTGGCAGTGACCAAAACCAACTGCTGGGAATTAGTCCTTCAGGTCACCTCTCAATATCACAGGGCAAGCGTCACCACAACTCAAGCTGGTCAACCAGTGCACTGGGCCAGTTTCCACTGCAGCCAGCAGTGTTGCTGTCAACTAAAACCAGAGCAAGAAAGTTCTGGGTACAAACAGCAGCAGAGCTTGTTAGAAGAAGCAAACCTTTGCTGTAAACAACCAACACTAGATAATCCCTACTGGAGAGCAATCACCTCCATGGTTCAAACACCTCATAGAACATTTTCCCTCACCCATCAACACACCAGGAAAGTAATCATAAGGTCTTGTGCAGTGCCAACAAAGATAACAGAGTGAGCATTGGCAACCTCTCTGTGAAAGCTCTGGGCTCAGACCCCATGGTAGCAGAAATCAGTAGGGGTTAATGTGTAGGGAGAGAGCTGGAGAAAGCAGCATTGCCCTTACAGAGTCAACCAAGCGACCCACAGTCTTGGGCATGCTGAGATGTGAGGTCTGCTCTTCCTAGATACTCTGCATCTTACAGCAGGCAGCTAGCAGGTCAGCTGCCATCAACTCTGCAGCTTCCCTATGGACACCTTTACAGAGCCCTTACTCATGAATCTGTTTCAGGTTGCTCTTAAACCAGCTCATATAAATAGGAAAAAATCCCCAGTCTGCTCAGCTGGTGCATTTGAAGTGTCAGAAACATCACTAAGGCAATAAAATTTTTCTCTTTTTTTTATCCTTCCTGTTAAAAAAAAAAAATCCTGCTCAGAAGCTGTATTTTCTCTCTCTCTCTCACGCACATGCACACTTTTTCTGTCAGAAAAGCTCACTCACATTGCAAGCATGATTGGTGGGATCATATGTCTGTAGGTAAACACACGCAGCTATCAGACACTGCCATGGAGGCACAGGTGTTACAGTACTGGTCAGGTACATAACAAAATCTGGAGTTTCCTCCCTAGGACTGAGGCATACCATGCCAAGCTCGTTCAGTCAGTCTCTTATAGTCAACAGCACTCCAACATCCATGCCTTCATAGGGGCTGAATTTGGGCTGGGCCACTGTTCAGCTCAGGTAGGGAGGTAGGTCCATTTAAAAGCCTGGTATGCAGAAATAATCACGTTTGATGTCCCAGTAAAAGACACTGAGTCACTCATGACCCATCCTGATTAGTCAACACATCCCAAGCAGTTCCACGGTGACCACGGATGCTCCTTATGCGGTGCTGCCCTGCAGAGGCCAAGGCAGCAAGGTCTGCTCCGGATGAACCCCTCCATGGAATATGTGGCGTTGAAGGTGGTGTTAGGTGGAATGGTGTCTTTTCAAGGAAGTCACCTCTTTTTGGAGTGAAAGCCAAGCTTCAATGACAAAAACCAACCAGCATCTTGCTCACTTCTCATGTGGCACATCAGAGTCTGCCCGTGTTTGTTTCAAGAGGAATTGCAGGACGTCATCTGAGAGGCCAGGTGTTCTCTTTCTGTCTTCCAAGATGACTTCTCCCTCAGCTGGCTTTGAAAAACAAGCAGTAGTGGGGTGGTTTGGAAAGATCTTACACCCATCTCTGTTCAAGACCACCTGGGCCATTTGCAGGCAACGTGACACATATTTTGTTCCATCCTGGTTTGCTAGCTCTGAAATCTTCTGTGATAGACGTCGTGATGCAGTCTCATAGGTGGGATCCATTCTATCTGGCCGTTTTTTGCAATACATTTCGTAGAAGCCATCAAGCGACTTCCTGATACTGCTATCTTCTGCACTATCGTGTTCATACATCCATGAGAGAGCAGCATCATTAGGTTCAGTGGGCTCACCCAGCCCTGCTTTTGGATAACATCTCATGTTCGCTTTCTCAGAGCCTCCAGCAGAAAAGCTTGTAGGAACTACAGAGGGTAGATTGTTCTCTCCTGCAAGCACAAGATCAATGAAACTCATTAGTCACCAGGTCATCCATCCCTGTGGCAAAATCTTTTTTTGTCCCCCTCACTGCAGTCTGGCAAACAGGCTTTGTTCAGGAGCGAGGTGAGTACTGCTTTAAACTCGGCTGGACTGCCAGAGGGGCTTGCTGCACAGATTCATACAAGATGGGCTATATTTGTGGATCTCATAGTTGTCACAGCCTTGCCCTACTGCAGTGATTGAACCTACTTGGTAACACGCACCTCCTATCTCCTCTCAGTCCTACTTCCAAAGAGGTGGGAATTGGGATCTGCTGCTGCTGGAGACCACAGCTGACCTACAGAGAAGTCTAGTTTGCAGCTGAAGCAGTTCTGCCTCTGTTTCCTTTTTCTCCCTTTGTCTCCAGGTCTAATTCTTCCCTTTCCATAGTTCTCAGTTTTACTTTTACAGTACAATGTGCAGTCCTGTCCTTCAGCTTTCAGCCAGATCTAGAGCCTCCAAACCAACACCATTATGGTGAGTGCACAGAGTTTGGGAATGGAAACTGCAAAAGACGACCATGAAGTCCCATGAAGTCCCATTTTTTGCAGCTCATTTGCACTAAACAGTCTTCCCACATCCTGCAGGAATTTTTCTAGATAATATTTATGTAAAGGCTGAGGACTCATTATTGCCTGGCTCTTCTCCTTCTTCCTTGCTGACCCATATCTCTGGATAAGAGTCAGGGCTATGGTTCTCTTCTGCTCCAATGCAATCAAGGCGGATGCTTTGTACTTCCACATAATTAATATAGCATCAGCACAGAGACTCTCGGCAGTGATGTGACCAGGACGATCTGCAAGCCACACACAGTTTTTAGTAGGAAGAGCCTCCATAAAGAGACCTTGAATCGGGCTCTGGTACCCAGGGAGTGCCTCTAACTGCAATTTCATCTCCAAGTCTGCTGCGCCAGCCCGTTTGCCAAGCACCTGAGTCACCGACAAGAAAATTTTCCAGGGCTCAGCCAGAGGTTGTGCAGCCGTCATCTGCAAGTTACATAAGCAGGACGAAAGGAGTCAGAAAATAGCTCGATCTTTTCTAATTCTGTGAAATATAAAGCAGAGCGCAGTCCTTCATTTGGTAAAAGACCATTGTTCAAAGGAAATCTCAGTGCACTGACAGAAGGTTGCCCTTTCCTTCCCAACACACGAAGAGCTACCCTCTCCTTTCTGAGTGGTCAGAGATTCATTAAAGTGAAAATAAGATGTTTGCACAGCCACACTGTACATTGCCTCTTTCTTCCTCCCCCTACTTTTTGTCTTTGATCTTTCTTTTCAACTTCACTTCATCTCCAATTCTGCAATTTTACATAGAACTTTCCCTCCTCTCGCAATGTGCCATTTCCAATGCAGTACAAAGAAAAGCTTAGTGGCCTTCTTTTGACATCAATATATGCCATCAGAGCAGGAAATCAGAGCTAATCAAAGAGAACAGGTCCGTTCTGCCTCAATAACCTCTCAGCCTTGGTGCCTATGCTAAGTTAAAACTGAAGCCTCATGCATCTCTGATAATTCAATCCAGTGGCACTTGCGCTCAGGCTCCTGTGGCAACTGTAAACCTCTGCGCCGCGCTGTCGTCTTGCTACTTCTTACACACAACTCACAGCTATCTTTTGCAAAAGAGCAGCAGCTGCCTCCAGCTACACATCTCAACCCTACATGATCTGCGAAGAGCAAAATCCTGTTGGTTTCACGGTGTCAGGGGAGATGCTGTTCTGCCGTTCTCCCATGATCTTAGATGGGGTATTAGGAAAAATTTATTCTCTGAAAGGGTTATCAAGCATTGGAACAGGCTGCCCAGGGAAGTGGTTGGTTGAGTCACCATCCCTGAAGGTATCTAAAAAACATGTAGATTTAGCACTTATAGACATGTTTTAGTGGTGGACTTGGCAGCGTTCGGTTTACAGTTGGACTCGATGATCTTAAAGGATTTTTCCAACTTAAATGATTTGATTTAACTCAAATTCTATTCTATTCTATTCTATTCTATTCTATTCTATTCTATGCCAGTACGACCTATAAAGCAGCCATTGATGCACAATCCACCGAAGAAGCTACTGGTAAGTATTTCAGGCGTATATTTTGGGGTTTGGTTAGTCAATTTTACTACTGGAAGAACAGTCTTCTTTCAGTTACTGATTCGAATTTCGGTACCTCTATTTTTCAACAGTAGGCTCTATCCTCTTAGTGGATTACTTTTCCAGCAAAGCCTTCTTAAGAGAAGACCTGAAAAGTTGGAAGCAGAATTCCCAGAACCAATCTACATCCCACAAAGTTGCACCGTTCCTCACCTTTCTTGACAACTTCCCAATAAATTCTCAAACTATGTGTCAAGACTGATCTTTGCAAATACACTCAACCCTTTTCCTCTCTAAAAGGTATCAGCGGAGGTCCTTCCTTGACACACTCTAAAGAGTTGATATTGCTGTTGTAGTGCACCAACCTCCTGAATGATTTATAAACCCCAGCCCAGCAGCTGGATGCCTGCAGGGTCCAGAAAGAGCTTCTCAGCTGGGGCACACGTACAGCACACAAGCACGCCACGTAGGCCAGCAAACATGCTGCTGAAGGCAAAGGCAGCATTAAACTAAACAATTCCTTTCCCTCTTCATGCACCTGCACCCCTGAAGAAAGCCGGGATTCCCTGATAGCACACAACAGCATTGCTTCAAATCTTAGACCTGTCTGGCCAGCTCTCAGTAGCAGGAAAAACATAGTTTTGTAAACTCTTTATCCTTCCATGGCAAACTTAACAACATAGCTGTCACACACCCTTGTGTTGGCTTGACCCAACACCTACAGAAGTCAATGCAAAGATGGGCAGGGCTGAAAACTTGCACTCCGTTCACCTGCAGTGGAGTTTCACCACCAGAGAATCTGGTCCAAGTTATTTTTAGCTATTTGCACTCATATGAACTACCAAGTATGTGTTAAAGGGGGGAAAAAAACCTAACCCCAAACAAAAAAAAGCCTCATAAGCTCAAAAAGGTCATTACTCATGTCTTGATTTCATTCTCACATGATGGATAAGCATCAGTGAGAACACATATTATTTCATCTGCGCCTCCACTCCATGCTAATTGAAATTCGGCAGTTGCAGCTTATTAGTAAAAGACCTGGGGGCTGATAAAAGGATATTCTTTGTGTTTATAAAACTGCTGATGAAAATTTAAAGTCTCCATCTGGTACAAGCACATAACCCTACCGCTCGAAGCACACAACCAAATCCTGCTTTGGACTTAGGCCACTTTCAGTGATGCAACAACTCTGCAATATTATTATTTGCACTTATACAAAAGCAGCTCATGTAGCAATTTGAGTCTCCATATAACTGTGTCCAAGCACATACAGTCAGAGTGTAAAATAAGACGTCCCTCAAACAGCACAGCTGCTTCACTGCTGGTTTTCTAGGGGAAGAAATCCCCCCCAACTGAGGTGGGCAGCAATCCCTACAGTGGCTGGTGCTTCACTAGAGCTGGTGTTGCTGTGATCGCTGTCTCTGATCCATGCAGGGGCTTAGCTGGATGCTAGCAGGTGTTAATTCTCTAGTTACATCTGTATCTGGATTTGTCCAAGCCTCCTGTCCTCTCCCACACCATCCGACTGCCTCCTGGGAACTCTGTGTGTAGAACGTGTGATTCCCCTCCTGCCCAGCACACAAAGACCCATTCTTTTATGAGGAACTGCAAGATTTATACTGTAGATCTGAGTAAGAGAGAGCGAAACCACAGTGTTTTGTCATCAGCAGTTCTGTGAAAAGGGCAATTACATGGCTTGTTTTAGGGAAGGAATCATCTGCCCTAGGGCTTAGGAATGACTCATCCCTGGCACAGATGGAGCTGGAGTCAGAGCCCACCAAAATGAATGCCTATCCCATACTCACCTCACAGCTGCTCTGGTGCTCTCAGGTGTTAGACACTATTGGAGCAGCCGTGTTCAACACGGGCAACAAGCCGCGTCCCTAAATGGTTCAAGCCTTTGACCCCTTTCAGCCATTTGATTGACGACATACTGTGGATAACTTAGAGCAAGGGCTAAATTTCTCTGGGTGCCTCTACTGTGCCACCCTAAACAAAGACCAAGAAAACTACGAGAATGAGAAAAGTGAATTATTTTTTTGAACAGAACTACATTAGTCTGGAAACATACAAATCACCCTTATGTTCACAGTAGTGACTGAAGTTCAGCTAGATGTTGGTTAGATGATGCTAGAGCAGATCCCTATGTTGCAAAGTCAATGACAGGACTGTTATCCAGAGTATCTCAGAGTGACAGAGATTATTTAGGTACTGGACTCTGAGACAGTGCACTGAAAAAACGTTATCAAGCCCTGCTACAGCCATCCTGCCACAGCCATCCTGCCAGCTGTGAAGGCCCGAAGAGACCATTAGGATCAGCTTGTCTGAACAAATGTCCCTGAACAAAGATTACCAGAGAACTGAGCAACACAACAGTGGAAAGGAAAAACAAAGGAAAGGAGAGAGCTGGATGAGAGAAAACTCTTTCCTTGGGTGAGACTATCCCAAAAATCAACAATACTTCACCTACTCTCCCTGGGAGCAGATGAGGCTGAGCATAACTGAACGCAGGTTTTTTCCAGAGTAGCTGAAGAGCAGAAGCAGAAGATGTGGTCTAGCTGGTGAGACAAACTCCAGCTATGGACTCCCATGTCAGAGCTTAAAATACTGTCTTGCCCGAGGCACCACCACGATTTTATGCCAAATTCAAGACCTGAAAGAGATCACAGATCCTGTCTCTTGGCACGTCACAGTTAATTGCTGCTACCAAACTTTTCCTCAGAGAGGAAGACAGAAAATTCTCCTCTGTCGGTCACAAAATCAGCTGCTCCCCACCTGCCCTGGACACTGCCACCTGCACCTCAGCATGCTCTTTCTACGCAGGTGAGTCTTCTCCCCACTGTGACTTGTTACAGCTAAAGTCAACAAATTCTCAGCATCCATGGGCAATGA